TAATTGACATAAGTCATTGCAATTGGGACAACAAAGGTAATTTTTCGTGTTACATATGATAGGTTATTAAGTTCATATGGTAAATTACCCCGCAGCCACTGGCGCCAATGAATGCCGTTAAAAATGGAGGCCCCTGGCCCACGGAGAATATTTCCCCCTCAAATTAAGGGTCACAATATTATGTTTAAAAATTACGGGAAATCACCATGAAGTGTGGCTGCCTAAACTCAAGTTGACACTCTTCTCAAGGATTCATCATAGTCATATAATAGACAATTTGGTGACATTGTTGTCTGTCATTTCGCCCTCGAGACGAGAGTGCAGAAATAATTGTGTCCAATTTTCAATTAGGCCAAGTAAAAAAAACCAACATGTTTAGCGTCCTGCCTTTTAAAAATAAAAAGGAAAGAGGAGGCCCTTTTTCCCCTCCAAAATGGCCGCCCGACCGTGCTGTTTTTCATGATGGCCGCCAGCTTTTTTTTAAATGGCCGCCACTTGGACTCAGGAAATGACATACCAGCTTTAATATGGGCTTCATGCAACAGACAAAGAAGCTAGAATGATATCACTGTTTAAAATTTATTATTTTTTTCGGTATTAAAAAAAAGAAGAAAAAAAGAAGCTGCCTCCAAAAAAGAAGCGGGCGGGGACGCTAACCATGTTTTTTTTTTTAATTTGGCCTTAGGTTTTACTCTGAAATTGTGGGATTTTTGGCTGCCTCCAGTTCCAGAGGGGCCAGCATATTATAGCCCCGCCCCCTAAACGTCACTGACTTCCTGACATGGCACTTGTGAATTAGACTTGTTTAAGTCTCACTTTCGTTAGTGACTGAGTATGATTCCGTGATCGACGCCAATGAGCGAGCTCTATGACATGTACATGTATATTCTGCCATCTAAGGCGTATAGCAACATGCATGAAAAGACTTCTGCTTATGATACTGTGCAATCACCTGCGGTTATTACGCACACGGTGAAGAGCCATTTTGATTTTGTTTCAAGTTGCTCTGAAACTGATCGACTTGCCTTTACTGTATAATTTATCTTGGTTTTTTTTATCCTCTATCTCCCCATATCTTTGATCTAGTTTACACCCCACGGATTGGTCAAGACAATAAAAAGATTGATTGCGGATCATGGGGTGATAGATATATACTCATATTTGAAGCCTATCTGGAACCCAATTGGAACACGTGCACGTCCAGACGCACATTCACCACCAAAATGCAAATCTACTGCGAAAGAAATGGGCCCCCCAACATTTGCGAGTTCAACCAGGCCGACGTCCTTGGATATGATCCAAACCCCGACTGCTACGACTACGTTGTCGTCGACTACATGTGCAAGTTCCCCTAGCTGTAGGGAGCAGGCAGATGGATCTCACGAGAATGTCTGACGACTTTTCTCTGTATTATTAAGTTTTCGCATGCAATAGAATTTTGCTCCTCGTTTTAATGTACCAACGAGTTTGACATTAAATACACTTGGGTGAAAGGTTTAAGGATTTTTGATCGAGTAAGATATTATTAAAATGCCTATTTAGATTATCCGAGACAGAAAGTAGCTATAGTACGTGCACCTATGTAATACAATTGGAAGAAGGAATTCATGTTTAAACAGTGCACCCAGGCCTTGGCAAGATTACCATATGCGAAGTTCACTAATTTTCCTCTGTATTGACTAACAAGCCCCCAGATAGCAATTTCATGTCATCAAAGTAAATTTGAGCAGTGAGAAAATACAAGCATTTTCTTAGAAAACACTTAGAATTTTTCAGTCCACTCTCATAGGGTTTGTAAACAGGGTGTTGAGTGAACTTCTTATATGGAAATCTTTCCCAGGCCTATCATGCACATTCATGACAATCACCAATTGAAGAATTCCGAAGAGTTCGATTTGGTTAACCTTAAAATACACCCCCCCCCCCCCCATCAATGCGTTCATATATTATTATAAACATGTAGTCCTGTATTTAAACGGCTCGTGCTTTTTTTTTTGTTCTTCATTGCAATCCTTCAAAATGCACGTTTAATGTCCTATCTCAATCCTCGTTTTCAAAGGCGTTTTGTCAAGTTTGTGTTTCGTTGTTCTTTGATAATTTAGTAAATGGTCAATGGGCAATCAAAATAAACAGAATGAACTACATTTTAGGTTACCTTATTATGTGCAGATAATCCCTAAATCAAGCGTGCCGATATTTTCAGTTTAGTTCAAATGCATGGATATTTGCAGATTTTTTGGGGGCGAGAACAGTTTTTTATAGACTGTAAATGATCTGTTTATTTGTCTATTTATTTGTTTTGTTAGGGAGAATATCAGGCCATATCGGACTGTGACTACTTTTATGCAGCCAAACACATTTGAGATGATGCACAAGTAATGTCTAAATATCTGTTCAAGTTTATTCAATAAAACACATCTTTTAACTGACATTCCGATTAAAATATTTACAAATGTACACTGAAAACAATTCTTGATTTCTTCTTAATCTAAGTTTAGCAGAAGCATTTATAGACAAATGCAACATTTTGTTGGTATATACTTCACTAACAAAATTCAGTACCTCGCAAAAGCATCGTACGTCCACACACTATGGGGAAGTGTTGGAATGCATTTTTCCACTGGTTCACAAGAATGTCCGACAACTGTTGGTCTGCATAGTCCCTAGCTACCTGATGATCAAGATGATTTGGACTGCAGCCATCTTGGAGGTGTATGCTTTTGTTCAACAGGGATACGCATGCGCAGACCTCTAGTGCATTCATTGCATTGATCTCCATATGATTCATTGTCAGCCTCGACTCCAGGGGCGCGTGCTCGTTCCTTACACTAACCCCTGGCTGTGATGATGACGTAAATGACGCTGAATGGCTATTCAAAGCGTACTGCACGCGCATTTCGAAGATTGCACGCCGGGCGCGCCCATAATGCGCTCGCGTGCTTTGCACGTAACGTCACGTACGAAAAAAAAAAATTATGATTCAAAAGTCGCGATGCCTGTACGATATGGATTATGTCAGCCGCGTTTTTCACTAAAAAAACCCTGTATCTGTGGTTGTAAAGGCACGAAAGGGGTACGTACATTTATAGCCCCACTAGTGTGGCCGTCGGTATGCTGCGCTGACGGCCACACTAGTGGGGCTAGTACATTTAATACAAATCTTTGCTAATAACACAACGTCACACGTTGTGTTTGAAAGGATTGATTCTTCCAAATCACAACTTTTAACATTTTAAAGATGGCGTCGGCACGTAAAACGGATAAACTGCAGCCCTAATTATAATGTACCGTATTTTGGCACATTTAAATTACACAATTCCTGGGGTTACGATCGCGCAAGGCATGATGGGAAACAACATGGCGCTGAAAGTGATCGTACCCACGGGGACGAGGTTGATTTATTGTTAATGAATGAACAAAACAAAACACACCAGAGAGATGACGGCTGAAAGCAATCACTCAACACGGTTGCTTTGCCGGGTTTTTAATGAGTGGACCCCTATAATGACATGGGCCACAAACGTGCATTTCAAGGCTTCATGTTTTCAAAACATATTATGTGAAACCTGAACAGTATTCATACTTTAGATTTAGGATCCCCCCCCCAAAAAAAAAACCACTTAGAGAAAAAACAATTTTTTTTGGGGGGGGGGGGATCCTAAATCTAAAGTATGAATACTGTTCAGGTTCAGGTTTCCCATAGGGATTATGTATCAGTTTCCCCGTATTCACTAGACATGATTGAAAAGGGCTTTAAAGGGAGTATACAACATTTGCTTTTGCTGTAATTTTCAGAAATGGATGGATTTGGGGGGGGGGGGGTAGTATTTTGTTACATTGACTTGTTTGAAGTTTCGTGAGCGTAGATGCTCGAAAAGACAAGAAACGCAATCTTGTTTATGTAGTCTGGTTCCCTGAAACCACTTATGATGAAACGGGGCACTCATCATAGACGTCGGGGAATTGTAAGGTCAAGGAATCAGTCTGGGTGGTGTGTACCCGTTCATAGGTGTGTAATCGATTGCAAACAAAATTCGGACTAACTAAATATGGTAAACTGGGGGCAGTTTTTGAAAAAAGCCAGTTTTTTTTTGCAACGCTGGTCGGCCGACCAGTTTTGGAAATTAATACAAAAATACCACTTTTCTTGAAAATTACAGCACACCAGGTGCCATGATTTTACAGGATGCTTTAAACTTCACTAACAGTCCAGAATGGTATTTCATAATAATTTGGTAGTTTTGTTTTTTGATGTTTGCAAATGTTGTATATTCCCTTTAAGTCCTGACATTAATTTTATTTTCAGCTAGCTCCAGCTGGCAACAGCCAGCTTGTTTCATTTCAGTTGAACAATAGACATCACATGGCCACTACCACTTCCACATATTATGCTTTGCCATTTGAGACTAGGTCCTAACATCACGAGCTGTAATTACAGGCTTTCAAGTATTCCTTTTTTTTCCTATTTTTTGTTTTACTTTGCTCCTAATTTTCCTACTATTTTCTTGAAATTCCTACTTTTTTTAAATAATTTTTTCTTCATTTTTGTTCCCCAACTCCCCCCCCCCCCTCCCCAAAAAGGAAAACCCATTGAACATTTTTCATAACAGTGTTGCACATAGTCTGAGTATCACCCGTTATCCACAGAGCCATCTCTGATATGTCAAAGCATGCAGATTTATACAAGCCGCGCGCCAGCCAATTGGAGTCGACTGAGTCGACTAAATCGTGACGTCATTTCATCCCAAAATCAGGACTAACGCTGTGATTGGTCAATTTGAATGCAGCGTTTTGTAATACAACAACAGCCGGGAGCGCATTCGCGTTACATGATACCGAGCGCCGCGCGCCGTGACATTTTTTTAAAAATTCATGTCTATGATGCACAACGGGTGAATGACCGAAGACCCGATAGCCCTGTAGAAGGCGCCTGCTGATTGGTCAAAATCTAGGAAGTCGAGAGGCGGGGTCTTGCCTAATTAATCAGCAAATCTGTTCACGCATAATATTCGCCGTGGTCTATTACATAGACTATGTTGCACACTGTCAAAATGAAAAATCAAAGTGCTAATTGGGCGCAGAAGTACAGCAACTGTATTTTCCAAGAGCTTAGTTCATGATGGAGCACACGGTGTTGTGAGTACGTGCCAAATGAGGCTTATGCTGTGGATATAGGCAAGTATCACAGAAAACTACTCCTGAAAGCCCGCAAAAGTCTCACTTTTATCCTGTTTTTGTTTTTTGTTTACTTTTGATCCTACTGTTCTCCTACTTGTTCACCCGAGTCAGCTTGAAAGCCTGTAATTATGATTGTCAGATTGCTCAAGGTGCAAGTCATTTAGGAGATCCAGAACCACAAGGATTTACCACATGTAGTCCGACAAGAAAAGTTGGGTCGAGTTCAAAACAGGTGTTTTTGGGATGAGGATATGGCTGCGGATGTTTACTGATTTACTGCAGAGTGTACATGTCAAACACTGAAGCCTTAGCCACAAAACTAGCAATTCAGACGCAGCCGTACTTCCTCTAGTTGCTTTCACGCCCAAGTTCCCAGTTGGGTCATCGGAGCCTGCCCCCGCCCAATTGAGAACCGGATCGGTTATTTGTGCCTCCAGAGAGCGGTCTGTAGTAGGACATTGCAGAAATGAAAAAAAAATTGACGTGATTTTTCTGTTAAATTATAATTTCTGGAGTACTTGTGAATCATTATTTGACATCTACTGTCATCAAACAAACTATTAAATAGCCATTTGAAGATCAAAACTGAAAAATATGTACTTACTTTCCGACTGGTCCATGCTTCTTCTTGTTTTGAGATGATTTAGACCTGAAAAAAATAGTTAAAGCTTTGTTAAATTTGTAATGGTACCACAGTTGCATTGAGTACGCAAATGTCGTAAATGAATTACACTATTTGGGGGCTCGGAAAAATCGTTCTCCAATAAAATGCTAAATAACAGGAAATTTTGAAGCAATACTAGATAATTTTGCTTGCAAAACACAATGGAGTTATGTACGGACAGAGTAAACAAGTTGTTTGCATAAAAAAAAAGTACATAAAATTTATCAAGGCTGCCAGTGTAATCATATCTTGGGTAACATGTCAAGTTTAGTTCTTCAAAAGAAAAATCAACTTGTCAACATGCGCTTTCAAGATATTCCAAAGCAGAAAAAAAAAATAGAGGGGCTCAACATAAATTTTCAGTATACAGGAGTAAGGCCGACAAAAAAAAGTCTTCGGTTTCTGGTATGGAGTTTGCCCCAAAAGTGGTGCGGCGACAGGGCTTTTTTTTTCTTTTTACTATTTTTTACTTCAAATGTTGGCTGATGACTGCAAATGGTGCCCGACTAAATTTCGTGCAAAATGTATGGGAGCCGAGAGAGGCTACATTTAGCTTATACTCGATCATAACCCCATCTAAAAACACGTTACAATTGTGCAGCAGCAGGATTCCAGTCAAACCAGTGAGTTTGGCAGTTTTGAGACATTTCATTGAAAAAAAAAACCTTTTTAATTTTGCCGACGCGCATGGCTACGGCGACGCGCGCATACCAGAAACCGGAGCCTTTGTTTTTTTGGCCTAAGCGTTTCACTCCAAAAATGCGATTTGGCCTTACTTCTTGTCTGATTTGCCTTTGAAGACTCGTCCAAAGTCCAGCTTGTTGACTTCCGTGGAGTCCATCTTAGGAGCTCCCTTGGCAGCTTGCCAACTATCGTCCTTTTCTGGTTCCTCCTCAGCCAGGCTAGTCTCCGAATCCAGCCTGATCCGAAGCGGGGAATACAGGTTAAACCATTGCTGTAGGCAAGACAAAAACAAAAAAATGTGATTGTTTTTACATAGACTCTACAAACCTGTGGAGTATATGGGATGTTTCTATTAACATACTTCACTAGTACAAAATGTTCGACTGACTTTTATGTTCAAGTTGGTGGGGTTTTTTGGTTTTTTTTTGCAGGTTTTAATTACCTAAAATTTGGGGGCCCTCAATACACAGACGTTTCTAGCATGTGAAGGTGAAGCAAATTTTGTGTCATACACTGCAGAGAAATTTGCCAGGGAAGATATACGTGTTCAACTTTGGTAAATTCTAGGGGTAAGCGTACGGACGTATGCGAACTGGGTACCTGATTGAAAAAAAACACGGGTACTCGGGTACCCGTTAAAGAAACCCAAACACGAAACTCAGGTCTGGGAAAGTACTATCCAGATTTTTCACAATGGTCCGCATGATAATACTAACACATGGGTTCGTCAATACAGCAAGATACAAGAGTGTACAGTGAGCTTTACGGTGTAAACTGCAACTTTGGCGAATGTCATAAACGTGAAATACGGTTTGTTTTCCCTTGTAGCCGGGTTTTCACTTTGAAAATACCCCACAAATGGCATTCACAACCTTTTCTTTTTAAATTGTCTGAGAAGTTACTAATATGTCATTTGTAAAGTTGGTTAGGGGTCCCGATCCCATAATCTGGAACCGGTTCCTGTCATCAAGGGTCGGGTACCCGGCTCCGATGCACAGCCCTAGCAAATTTGTATCGTGGGCACTAATTACTGTGAAGTTACAAATTCACGTTTGTACCGAGTTCTATTAGACTCAGAGAAACAGCCCTTGGGCAATACTAGGAAAGAGGCCACACTTGCTCATTGCTGGGCCCAATACATGTATCTTTACACTGCTATGCAGCGGGTACCGCATGAACTATTATAAGATTGAATTTTGCGTCGGGGTGATATAAATCAAATTAGGTTTTGCCCTTCACCGACGTACATAGTAGCGGTACTCGCTGCTATGTACATCAGATTCGAACCGGCCACCCGATCCCGTTAGCTCGGTGGTCGAGTGGTAAGACATCTGCACTAGAAAGCAGGAGGTCGTGGGTTCGAGTCCCACCCGAGTGATTTTTTCCAACTTTCACTCGGGAGGTAACACACTGAGTATACAGTGTTTAAAAACGTCGGTGAAGGGCAAAACCTAATTTGATTTATATCACCCCGATGCAAAATTCCATCTTATAATAATATTTGTCTATGCTAAGCAGCTTGTTAGCCCTTGGTCGCAGTTACGTCATGGAACTGTGACCAGGAGGAAAAGAACAGCTCGGTGAGTTTCATTCCTTCTCCCATCCATCTCACCTTTGCCTGTGGGCTGAGGCCGACATCAGTGTAGGCCAGCTGCCACTGGGGGAGCCCTAGGTGCATCAGCATCATGCGGAAGTACTGGCTGAACGTGTGGGCCAAGAAATGCCACCTCAGGGCTCTGTCTAGAAGCCACACCTCAGGATGCTGGGCAGGGCTGCCTGTGGAAAAGTAACCAAACCAAACAAAACTGCATTAAAAAAAACGTGACTGAATCAATTGACGGTCTTAACCTTTGCTTGATAAGTGCAATCTGTTCAATTACTTTAGCCCTAGCTCTCCCAGATTCAACACAATCCACAGCCTGTGGGACCTTGCTGCGTGCACTGAGCTTCAACACCAGTGCATAAGGCCAAGTTCGCGCAAGGACTATAGTTGACCAATGGTTAACCATAGTCTGACTAACGCTTGCCCGAACTCTGTCTAGTCGACGGTGGTTGACTAGGCTAGTCAACTATTTGGAAGTAACCTACTGGGGCTGGTTGCATCGCTGGTAACCATAGCCACGCGCGTTCATAACGTACAGCAGAGAGCCAGGATCCAAAAGTTTTGGTATGACATTTTGACCAGCGTTTGACTAGAGACGTTCGCACGTTGCTATCAGTGTGCAGGCGTAAGGTACATCACAAATCAACCACTAGTCGACTAATGGTCCTTGCCCGAACTTTGCCTTAGCTGTCACATCTGAGACAGTGGGAGCTAGTCCCATTGAACAATGTTACTAGTTACCATTGTTACTCTGTCGCAGTTGGTGACTCGGGCATTTTGACCATGAGATTTCTGACCTGATGGATCTTGCTAGGCTGGACAGGCTTCTCATTTGGACAAATGTTGCATTTTGCTGCATTCAGGAATGAGGATTCAAATCAAGCTCAAAATGACGTCAATGAGAATTCGGGCGATTCACAATGCAGTGCGTCACCAAGAGTTTGCCATGGAGAGTCAACTTTTCAAGTCTACGGTCGACAAAACATGGCCCATTTGAATGAGTGTCAGTAGACAACTTGAGCTAATTTGTTATAGAGTTGGGCATAGCGTTCTGCCGCCTTATCAAAAATCACCATATTGGTACAAAGAAAAGAAAAGGGCAAACATATACTCGAATCATATGCTTATAAAACTACTGACCGGGAAAAACGAAGAATTTCAAATGTCCCGCGCTGCGAATTTGTCGACCATCTCCCACAATGCACTGGGAAAAATGAACTCTCTGTGGCAAACTCTTGGTGGCGTACTGCATTGTGAATTGCCCGAATTGTAATTTGGATAAATATATGGCCGCAAAGAACACTGTCCCCACCCACCCACCTGGCTTGGTATTCCTGTAGACCAGACAGACCTTGGCAATACCTCGGCAGGGATCCAGCTCAAAGATGCGACTCCTTGTGTCAAAATGTGGCTTGGCTGGAACATCAGTGTCCTCGTCTGACAATGTCAAGAACAAAAGTTTAAGTGTCCTTCATTGTAAGTTACCATTTATCAGTGAATATTTTCTTTGTTTCCCTGTTTGTAAGATGTAGAGTACAATTTTAATAATGCAGCAAGGATTTTTGTCGTCATTCATATCAACAGATCTGGGGGCACTAGTTCAGGAGAACCTTCTTTCCTCAAGTAACATTTGAAGAAATTGTTTCCAAAATGCAATAAATGCCATTTGGTTACCTTTTAGAAGTCCACCCTCTCCTGGTTGGCCTAAATAGCAGTTTTGACGGCTATGATATAGTTTACCACAATTTCAGAATACAGTGAAGCGGAAAAAAAATGTGGTTTAGAAACAGTTCTTATATCTATGTTCGATAAGTTTTCATAAACTTCTTCATGTTTTTTAAATGGATATATCTTAATTGGACAGGATATCAGGAACGCTATAGAGCATATAGATGTATCAGGCATGCAACTGGGAATTTAGAAAAAAAACGAGGAAACTCCAAACCACACAAGACTATGTACAGTGTTTTTCAATTTGTAATGGCATTATGAGAAGTAAAAGACGAGGAAATCAGCGGATCCGAGGAAAAGTTGCACGCCTGATGTATACATGTAGTACACTGTGGCAAAGTAAAATTGTGCATTTTAATGCTGAGGGCCTTCTCACAGGGGGACGTCTCTATAGTCCGAAGTACCATTGGTCCGAAGTACCATTGGTCCGAAGTACCATTGGTCCGAAGTACCATTGGTCCGAAGTACCATTGGTCCGAAGTACCATTGGTCCGAAGTCCCATTGGTCCGAAGTCCCATTGCTCTATACGTTCCATTGGTATAAACGTCCCATTGGTCCGACATCCCATTGGTCCGAAGTCCCATTGGTCAGAAGTCCCATTGGTCCAAAGTCCCATTGGTCTGAAGTCCCATTGGTCCGAAGTCTCCTTGGTCCGACGCCCAATAGGATTAGGGTTAGGGTTAGGGTCAGTCAACCTGAACCAGTGAAACTACACAGTATAAAGTTTACTTTGGACCAATGGGACTTTGGACCAATGGGACTTCGGACCAATGGGACTTTGGACCAATGGGACTTCGGACCAATGGGACTTTGGACCAATGGGACTTTGGACCAATGGGACTTCGGACTATCGAGACTCAACCTTCACGCAGTATGCATGGAGTCCTAAGGCAAGGGTTTGGTTGGCAGTATTATAGCATACCACACTGCTCCTCATCGCTTGCATAGTCCACATCAGCTAGTGACGGCGTGTTGGCGTTGCTGGGGGCTTTATTTCCAGCCAGCTTGGTCACATTGCTGATCTTGTTAATCTCCATCCGCCCGACCGGCTGCAACTGATCTGAATGAAAAACAAAAATTATACAAATTAAGGTCAAATTCACAACTCAGAAATCTTACAAAGACGGTCTTTTTTTTAAAACATAACCTTTGCAAAATAAAGACTACGGTGCTTAAATATAAGGTTTTGTCCTCCACAAGCACATGGCTTGCTTTTGCATAATGGTAAAAAAGTATTGCAGGAAAGGGAAAAGCCATACGTATTGCCCTTTCTATATCCCTCCGACTTTGGTTTTTAGCAATTGTACAAAATCACTCGAGCAATCATTGGGATAAAGAACAACTGTTGCTGGGTTCATGAGCAGTACTTGAAATGCACAAATACTTGCTTTCGGGCATTAGGCATAAAGCAGCCCTTCCTGTTTTTCCTAAATTCAGCTAAATCAGTAGTAAATCTAAGTCAAAGTTAGGACTTAGGTCCAAAAAAAATAATAGTTCTGCTTCCGGTTATCCTACATGTACCTACCCTATTTTGACAGCCCCTACTCTAATTTTGTTTTGGGAAAAATGAGGAAGAAAACCTGAAAATCATCAATTTCTACCTTTTACCTTTGACTACACGCAGACGCCTCCATGTGATCGTACACACACAAAAAATGCCAACAAAAAAATTTCCTACCTACATGTACCTACCCTATTTTGAAATGCCACGTAATCAGAAGCAGAACGATTTTTTTGTTTGGCCTGATGTCAGTGCTGTTTGAAGTTGTATACTGTAATTACCATCAAATCTGACACACCATGTCAGCAGTAGCCCATCTGAGGTCAGGTAAAACCTCTTGAGGTCATCTGGCAGCATGCAGGAGCTGCGCTGTTCCCAGGACACCACTTGGTGGCGCTCCGCTGGCTGCAGATCAGCAAGCGTAATGTCACAAATCCCTGCCCTCTTTTCTGGAAAGAAAATAGTCGGTTGAAAAAAATTTTTGGCGAAATGCAGTAACCTAAAGCCACTTTCTTCACTATTCCTTCCATGACCAGTTAGTGCTTTAATTCAATTAATTGACTAAACTGTGTTAGATCCCTCGTTTCATAGAGTAACAGTTACTGAGTTAGGATCTGATGGAGAAACGCTTCAAATTTTGTTTCAACAATTTTCATAATTCCATAAATTTAATGCTCCTACATGAAAATTCCTTAGCAGTGTTATCATAATGATATTTTCTTCATAAGTTATAACATACATTGTATGTAGTGGCTATCGCTACAGCAGCCTTTATGTAATTTTCAACTGCTATCATTACGGCACTGCAACAACACTATTGTGAATTTATATCACATTTACTACTGCCCGTCCAACCAGAACGCTTCGGTAGCTTGATTGGTTAAATGTTCGGGGCCGTATCATAAGTCCGACGCCTCATAGGTCCGACGCCTCATAAGTCCGAAATTTCGGACTTATGAGGCGTCGGACTTGTGAGGCATAACATTTATTTATTCCGCCTCATAAGTCTGACGGCTCAAAAGTCCGACAACGGAAAAACGAGGCATTTAATTTGTCGGACTTACGAGGCGTCGGAGCTATGAGACGTCGGATTTTTGAGGCGTCGGACTTATGAGGCGTCGGACCTATGAGGCGTCGGACTTATGAGGGGACCTCAAATGTTCAGCTACTATGCGGAAGGTTCCGGGATCGTTTTCCATGTTTTTCAGCACTCAAGGTCTCAGTCTGGATCAACCTCCCAGAGTGCTGAAAAACATAAAAAACGCAAGTGAGTTCAATTTTCGTCTGGTGCGTTGTCGAGGAAAGCATTCTCCTTGTCTTGCTTTCCGCGACAATGCACCAGACCAAAGTTGAACTCACTTGCGGTGCCTGAAAGCGGTGTGGTACCCACATACATCGCGCGCGCAGATTTTTTTTGATGTCATCACGTGATGCATACATGCATTTACATAAATAGCAAAACAAAATGGACGACAGCCGTTGGAACTGGCGTTTTTTTACGGACAAGCCACCGAAATCGTCAAGATTTTTCACATTTTTTTTTTGTGGTATGGTCTGTTTCAAGTCGATCATTGGGCTTCGTAAATGACTGCTGAATGTACTATGAGGTATGAAAATGAACTCGGGGGTGGGATATTAGAGGTGAAAATGAACCATTTTTGAGAAGCCATTTTTTTAGGGTCTCTTGCTACCACATTCTAACGAACAGGTTATGCCTCCAGCGTTACATGTGAATGAATATGGAGCATGTTAGACCCGTGAACGTGGCTTGTAGTTGTAAACTATACAACGTCCACGTTCACGGGTCTAGGAGCATGTCAGCTGGAGTTACTCAAGCTAATTTAGGGCCTATATTTAAGCTAATTTAATACTAGACCCGTGAACGTGGCTTGTAAACTACGCCACGTTCTTATGTCATTTCGAACCTGGCGAACGTGTCCTTCTGACTCCCTCCGTTACACACACTGGACGTTATTTTGCCCATGTAATAAGTACTCACATATGAAGCTGTCTTGAATTCTATTTGTACGTCAAAACTTGCATTTGACGAAAATTGAGGAAAATTCTTCCCGGTTCATAATAATAATAATAATAATTAATTCTTATATAGCGCATTACATCATTGACACAATCTCAATGCGCTTTACAAAGTTAATAAAACAAATGTCATTAAATACACTAAAAAAGCTCATTAAAAATATTAATACATCACCAATCTATTGATTTAAATACCAAGTAAAACTCATTAAAAATACATTAAAACCACAATCAGTCAATCATCATGAATGTTATTTAAAAATAATCATCATGAAGTCCGTCCGCTACTGCTAGCTGCCATTTTCTCCCAACTGACGCATGCGCATTGCGTTTTATTTTCGTATGATTCGACGGCTGTTTACTGTCGCAGCTAAAACAGACATCGTTTTAGACAAGTTTCAAGTCCTTTCCTCTCTCACCGCACTGCACGCGGTCGCACGTGCGCCCGCGTGTGTGTGCACACACGTACTGTACACGAGATGAGCCGAGCAGCCAATCGTCTGCGGGGGGGGGGGGGGGGGGGGGGGGGGGGGGGGGGGGGGGGGGTTTCGGGGTTGCGACATGAAACAGCCGTCAATCTGTCCAAGCGACTCAGACGCGTCCGGGGTTATTTGTCAGGGTCAGGTTAAAATCTAATTTCTACACGTTCGTATGGGTCTTTACTGATGGGCAAATTTCGTCGAAATTACACAACCGAAACAATCGGACGGGCAAATTTAGATTTTTTAGGTGAGTACTCAACACCCATACGGAATTATGTATGTTGGATCGATTTCGCCAGGTTCGAAATGAAACAAGAACGTGGCGTTGTATACAACGCCACGTTCACTAATTTAATACCTACCAAGCGATTTTACGACACCTAAGGTTAACTGATTGAAGAGATCTTTCGTATGCGGGATTTCTTCCATACTTGTTAGAGTTGTAAGATCAAAATTAGCCATCAAAATAGACCAAAGTATCGTCGTTTTTTACGGACTTGGTTTACAGTCGCTATGTACGCTGCCATCTTGAATGTCCTGAAATATAAAGACCGCCCTCTACGTTAGTATTTTACCTTTCCTTTAATTTAGTTGACTAATGAGGGCGCTGTTTTTTCTGTTATAAAGGCCGCCCTCTACGGCAGTAATTTTACCTTTTCTATGCTTGACTATTGAACCAGGCTGATCTTGGCACGAAAATCGGGCCGGATTTTCGGCTAGGCACTATTTTTACGGTGGCGCGCCGCCGCGAAGATTGCCACTACGGTGGCCCTAAACAGTCATTGCAAATATACCTTAGGAGAAAACGAATTATAAAGGAAGTTCAACTTCTTATCACGGTGGATTACCTTAAATAACTGAAACTGTTGTTTATTCGACTCTAAAGTAAATTGTAATGAAGACTGTGGCAATATATTTTCAGAATCGGGAATGTTAATGTTATAAATATTAACGTTACTGAATTAAGGTTCTGCCTTATAGCCGATGAGAGGGCGCTATATCCGCCAGACTACTCCTTGTAATGAGTAGTGTTGCGTTGCGGAAAGGACCGGGTCCCAGGCATGAGAATCCTGTTTAAACAGGAACCGGCCGCGATTTTCTTTTCCCAAACTACATGGTTGTTTAGCGCCCTCTACGATACTTTTATGACACGTACGTACGCAGGTATTATAATAAATGTAAAATGATTTTGTACCCTCCTAAATGCCAGAAATGTCCCGTTCCAATTGCATACACGGGTTAAGGGACATCCAAAGTGTATTCTATTCGCGCCCCGAATAAATCGGTATTGAAACAGAGTCAGCCCAATTAAATTAATCCAACGATTGATAATTAACGTACAAAACAGCCGTTTTCCAAAGAAAATACGGATATCCCATTTTGAAATGATTTTGTACCATCCTAAATGTCCGAAATGTCCCGTTCCAATGGCATACATGGGTTAAAGGACATCCAAAGTGTATTCTATTTGCGCCCCGAATAAATTGGTATTGAAACAGAGTCAGCCCCATTAAATTAATTCGACGATTGATAACTAACGTACAAAACAGCCGTTTTCCAAAGAAAATACGGGTATCCTTTTTTGAAATGATTTTTTACCTTCCTAAATGTCTGAAATGTCCCGTTCCAATGGCATACACGGGTTAAGGGACATCCCAAGTGTATTCTATTTGCGCCCCGAATAAATCGGTATTGAAACAGTGTCAGCCCAATTAAATTAATCCGACGATTGATAATTAACGTACAAAACAGCCGTTTTCCAAAGAAAATACGGATATCCTATTTTCAAATGATTTTGTACCTTCCTAAATGTCTGAAATGTCCCGTTCCAATGGCATACACGGGTGAAAGGACATCCAAAGTGTATTCTATTTGCGCCCCGAATAAATCGGTATTGAAACAGAGTCAGCCCAATTAAATTAATCCGACGATTGATAATTAACTTACAAAACAGCCGTTTTCCAAAGAAAATACGGGTATCCCATTTGGAAATGATTTTGTACCATCCTAAATGTCCGAAATGTCCCGTTCCAATTGTATACACGGGTTGAGTGACTCTCAAAGTGTATTCTATTCGCGCCCCGAATAAATCGGTATTGAAACAGAGTAAGCCCAATTAAATTAATCCGACAATTGATAATTACGATACAAAAGACCGGTTTTCCAAATAACATACGGATATCCCATTTAGAAATGATTTTGTTTCATTCTAATTCCTAAATGTCCGAAATTTCCCGTTCCAATTACATACACGGGTTAAGGGACATCCAAAGTGTATTCTATTCGCGCCCCGAATAAATCGGCATTGAAACAGTGTCAGCCCAATTAAATTGATCCGACGATTGATAATTACGATACAAAACAACGGTTTTCCAAAGAAAATACGGGTATCCCATTTTGAAATGATTTTGTACCATCCTACATGTCCGAAATGTCCCGTTCCAATTGTATACACGGGTTGAGTGACTCTCAAAGTGTATTCTATTCGCGCCCCGAATAAATCGGTATTGAAACAGAGTAAGCCTAATTAAATTAATCCGACAATTGATAATTACGATACAAAAGACCGGTTTTCCAAATAACATACGGATATCCCATTTTGAAATGATTTTGTTTCATTCTAATTCCTAAATGTCCGAAATTTCCCGTTCCAATTACATACACGGGTTAAGGGACATCCAAAGTGTATTCTATTCGCGCCCCGAATAAATCGGCATTGAAACAGTGTCAGCCCAATTAAATTGATCCGACGATTGATAATTACGATACAAAACAACGGTTTTCCAAAGAAAATACGGGTATCCCATTTGGAAATGATTTTGTACCATCCTAAATGTCCGAAATGTCCCGTTCCAATTGTATACACGGGTTGAGTGACTCTCAAAGTGTATTCTATTCGCGCCCCGAATAAATCGGTATTGAAACAGAGTAAGCCCAATTAAATTAATCCGACAATTGATAATTACGATACAAAAGACCGGTTTTCCAAATAACATACGGATATCCCATTTTGAAATGATTTTGTTTCATTCTAATTCCTAAATGTCCGAAATTTCCCGTTCCAATTACATACACGGGTTAAGGGACATCCAAAGTGTATTCTATTCGCGCCCCGAATAAATCGGCATTGAAACAGTGTCAGCCCAATTAAATTGATCCGACGATTGATAATTAACGTACAAAACAGCCGTTTTCCAAAGAAAATACGGATATCCTATTTTCAAATGATTTTGTACCTTCCTAAATGTCTGAAATGTCCCGTTCCAATGGCATACACGGGTGAAAGGACATCCAAAGTGTATTCTATTTGCGCCCCGAATAAATCGGTATTGAAACAGAGTCAGCCCAATTAAATTAATCCGACGATTGATAATTACGAAACAAAACAGCAGTTTTCCAAAGAAAATACGGATATCCCATTTTGAAATGATTCTGTACCATCCTAAATGTCCGAAATATCCCGTTCCAATTGCATACAGGGGTTAAGGGACATCCAATGTGTATTCTATAGTACAAGGGTTAAGGGACATTCAAAGTGTATTCTATTTGCGCCCCGAATAAATCGGCATTGAAACAGTGTCAGCCCAATTTTATCCGACGATTGATAATTACGAAACAAAACAGCCGTTTTCCAAAGAAAATACGGATATCCCATTTAGAAATGATTTTGTACTATCCTAAATGTCCGAAATGTCCCGTTCCAATTGCATACAAGGGTTAAGGGACATTCAAGTGTATTCTATTTGCGCCCCGAATAAATCGGCATTGAAACAGTGTCAGCCCAATTAAATTGATCCGACGATTGATAATTACGATACAAAACAACGGTTTTCCAATGAAAATACGGATATCCCATTTTGAAATGATTTTGTACCATCCTAAATGTCCGAAATGTCCCGTTCCAATTACATACACGGGTTAAGGGACATCCAAAGTGTATTGTAATCGTGCCCCGAATAAATCCGAACTGAAACAGTGTCAGCCCAATTAATTTCATACTGAGGCTAAAATTGAGGCAACACAAACATTTTTCATCAGAAATACGGATTTCCGGATTTGGAATGAATTTGTTCCATCGTTAATGACAGAAATTCATTCCAAAACAATCCTTCAAAGAGATGATCAACAAAGATTTTATAAGCGCACCGAGAAAATCTGTTCGTTAAAAAGCACAGCCCAACTAATTTAATAATAAGACGGAGATCATGCTTTTTGCCAGCCATTGACATTGATTGAAACGGAAAGCCGTATTTTCAAACGATATTGTTCCATCGTTAATTACAAAAGTATTCAGATCTGAATGGATAGGAGGGTGAAATGACTTTCAAAGTTTATTTTATAAGCGCCCCGAATAAATTGGTATTGAAACAGTCTCAGCCCAATTAATTTCATACCGAGGCTAAAATTCAGGCAAAACAAACATTTTTCATCAGAAATAGGAATTTCCGGCTTAGGATTTATTGGAATGAATTTGTTCCATCGTTAAAGGGAATGTACATCATTGGCTTTTGCTGTAATTTTCAGAAATGAACTATTTGAGGGGTTAGTATAACAGATCAAATATTATTACACTGACATGTTTGACGTTTTTGTGTTCGAAAATACTGGAAAAACCAAGAAAAACAAAAATGTTCAAGCAGTCTGGTTCCTTGACTCCACTAAAGATGAAATGGATCAATTTATAGATGCCGGAAAATTGTAAGGTAATGGAACCAGTCTAACCAGGGTCTAACTGGCCTGCACCCGTTCATGATCATGTAACCAATAGCAAACAAAATTTGGACTGAAAAAAAAATTCGTAAATTTGGAGCAGTAGTTGAAAATAGTTAGGTTTTTCCAACGGTGGTCGGCGCTTGCAGGCATTGCTGTATATAGACAGACTACACATAGAGGTACTACTGGAATTGATGCGCTAAATCTTAAATTTTCTCCGCAACTGCTGGGTTTCAGGACCTGTCCTTTTGCCAGCTTGTGGGCCTCATCACAAGCTTCCGAACAAGGTATAGTTTGTGCAGAACTGCCCAGGTTAAGGTACCTTTAGACCGCGATATACGAAGTTCGTGTCGCGGGCGCTTGAAGGCATTGCTGTATAGACTGACTGCACATAGGGGTACTACTGGCATTGATGCGCTAAATCTTGAATTTTCTCCGCAACTGCTGGGTTTCAGGACCTGTCGTTTTGCCAGCTTGTGGGCCTCATTACAAGCTTCCGAACAAGGTAGAGTTTGTGCAGAACTGCCCAGGTTAAGGTACCTTTAGACCGCGATATACGAAGTTCGTGTCGCGGGAGCTTGCAGCCATTGCTGTATAGACTGACTGCACATAGGGGTACTACTGGCATGGATGCGCTAAATCTTGAATTGTCTCCGCAACTGCTGGGTTTCAGGACCTGTTCTTTTTCCCAGCTGGTGGGCCGCATCACAAGCTTCCGAACAAGGTATAGTTTGTGAAGAACTGCCCAGGTTAAGGTACCTTTAGACCGCGATATACGAAGTTCGTGTCTCAGGCGCTTGCAGACATTGCTGTTAAGACAGACTGCACATAGGGGTACTACTGGAATTGA